TAGTTTTAAGTAATGCACTGCTGCTTGTCTCCCAACTGTTGCTAAGCACTGCTCTTCAGCTGGCCCAAAGAAGCTCTGAGTCATAAGAAGAAGACACATTTTGAAGATAAATTAGCTTGATTTATCAGTCTGTATTTTTAGATGATACTGTTTTTATAAACCTCAGCTGTGAACATTATGTTTGATCAGCTGATTGCTGATTTTCTCACCTGACATACAATTTAATAAATAACTTATGCCGTAATGACCCAGGGCATGTGTTAGAAAGATGAAGGGTATCCAGGTGTACTTATCTAAATGAGGAAACTGGCAGCCTCTCACACAATACAGTGCAGAGAAAAATAATGTTATCTTTTCAGGATCAAGTTTTATACTCATCTAATGATTAAATGAGGCTGTCTTCTTGAACAGCGACTCACCCCTCCAGAGGGTTTGGTCACGGGGAAGTTGCCAGCCAATGAAATGTTCTCATCTCAGTGGCTGTCATTTATACTGACATTTGGAATTAGAAGGTCCAATTTTTCAAAAGTGTTTTAACTAATTCTTTAAACCATTAGATTTACAGCATAAAATATAGAATTGCAATAATACATGTAAAGATAAAAAAAATATATATAGAAAAAAGAGAGCTACGACATTCAGTGACACAGAATTCCATCTGTGGGGCTAGTGGTTTACCAGAAGCCTTTTGGAACATAAACCCATAAATGTAGAATTTTTTTTTTGCAAATTTATTAAAAAAGAAAAACTGAAATATCAAATGGTCATAAGTATTCAGACCCTTTCCTGTGACACTCATATGTAACTCACATGCTGTCCGTTTCTTCTGAGCCTCTCTAAGATGGTTCTGCTTCTTCATTTGGGCCAGCTGTGTTTAATTTAACTGATTGGACTTGATTAGGAAAGGCAGACACCTGTCTATATGATACCTTACAGTTCACAAAGCATGTCAGATCAAATGAGAATAATGAGGTGGAAGGAACTGCCCAAGGAGCTCAGAGACAGAATTGTGACAAAGCACAGATCTGGCCGGGTTACCAAAGAACTTCTGCAGCACTCAAGGTTCCTAAGAGCACATTGGCCCCAATAATCCTTGGATGGAAGAAGTTTGGACGACCAGAACTCTTCCTAGACCATCCCATCCTTCACACTTTACACTGGCTCCCCATTCACGCCCGTATAAAGTACAAGATTCTTCTGCACACCCATCACTGTGTGCACGGTGCGGCCCCCACGTATCTCACTGAACTGCTCACACCACACACCTCTTCCTGGACCCGGTCAGGCCAACAGCACCGTCTGGCCCCACCCAGGACACGGCTAAAAACAATGGGCGATAGGGCCTTCGAAGCCGCAGCTCCCCATCTGTGGAATGCCCTCCCAGACCACCTTAGGGCCCCACAGACGGTGGATTGTTTTAAGAAAGGACTAAAAACTTTCCTTTTTAGAAATCCCTACAATTGTTGATTTTAGATTTTTTAATAGGCTACGTATGCCTTTTAATGTATTGATTTTAATGACTGTCTTTTTACTCTTTTTACTGTTTTTAATGTTATGGTCTTTTAAACTTGTTTTAATTTTTGTAGCACTTTGAGATTTGAAGTCAAATGTAAAATGCGTTATAAATAAAATTCATTATTATTATTATTATTAGACCTGGCTGTCCAGCCGAACTGAGCAATCGTTGAAGAAGAGCCTTGGTGAGCGAGAGAAGAACCCAAAGACCACAGTGACTGAGCTCCAGAGATGCAGTAGGGATGTGGGAGAAAGTTCCACAAATCAACTACCCCTGCAGCCCTCCACCCATCTGGGCTTTATGGCAGAATGGCCCCGACGGAAGCCTCTCCTCAGTAAAGACATATGAAAGCCTTCATAGAGTTTGCCAAAAAATACATGAAGGACTCCCAGACTATGAGAAAAAAGACTCTCTGGTCTGGTAAGACCAAGATTGATCTTTTTGGCATTAATTCTAAGCGGTATTTGTGGAGAAAACAAGGCACTGCTCATCACCTGCCCAGTACAATCCCAAATGTGAAACTTGGTGGCAGCATCATGCTATGGGGGTGTTTTTCAGGTGTAGGGACAGGACGACTGGTTGCAATTGAAGGAAATGTGAATGCAGCCAAGTACAGAGATACTCTAGAAGAAAACCTCTTCCAGAGTGGTCAGAACCTCAGACTGGGCCGAAGGCTCATCTTCCAACAAGACAATGACCCAAAGCACACAGCTAAAATAACAAGGAGTGGCTTGGGAACAACTCTGTGACCATTCTTGACTGGCCCAGGCAGAGCCCTGACCTAAATCCAATTGAGCATCTCTGGAGAGACCTAAAAATTGTTATCTACCAACGATCACCATGCAACCTGACAGAACTGGAGAGGATCTACCAGAGAGAATGGCAGAAGATCCCCAAATCGAGGTGTGAAAAATTTGTTGCATCTTTCCATGAAGACTCATGGCTGTACTAGCTCAAAGGTGTGCTTCTACTAAATACTGAGGAAAGGGACTGAATACTTATGACGATGTAATATTTCAGTTTTACTTTTTTTTTTATACATTTCTGTCAATGTGGGTTGCTGAGTGTACATTACTGAGAAATGAAATGAACTTGATTGATTTTAACAAAATGCTGCAATGAAACAAAAACTGAAAAATTAAAAGGGGTCTGAGTACTTTCCGTACCCCCCTGTATATCAAATTGAAATTGAAATTCCTTACATGCCTCTAGCAAGTAAGACGATTTTCAGCAGCAGTTTAAATTATTGTTGTTTTTTTTCTCTTTTTAAAAGTCTGTAATTACAAAATGAAATCAGGAACACAAAACTGAACACAGGGAAAGAAATAAAGCCAGCTGTAACACACTGAAACTCTGAACAACATGTGTATAACTCCAGGCCATTTTAATCTTTTTTTTTTTTTTTAACAGCTGGGCTAGACAGTTTTAGATTAAGTATTTCATCCTGAAGCAGGAAAACGACCCACATGTTTTTAATGTAACACTGAAAAAACATAATCTAATTTATTGAAGCATCTTGTACAGTTAGGGTAATTACATTTTACCCTATATTTAAAACTCCAGAGGCACATCAGAAGAATGAGAGCACAGACAGACTTGCAGAATTAAAAGCAAGGTTTTGCATTTTTCCAAAACAATAAAACTTAATGCTAAAATACCAAAGAAATTAAACAAAAGAAAGCAGCTTTAGCAGCAGTGTATTAAACACAGTTTGTCTCAAATCTTTCCAAGGTTTGCCTTGAATGATAATTCTAAGTTTATCTAAATTATATTCCTTCAAGCCACCTTTGACCTTTAGGCGTTTAACTTGTTTTTATTTCAACCCTCCATCAAAAGGAATCAGTTACTGACTCTGAAAGTGAAAATGACAAGATAGGAATGTTCACCGTTTCTCTTTGAAATACAAAGGAAAGCACGGGGCACAAGCAGGATAAGGCTGTGGTATAAAGTTTGATGGAGGGATTCTTTCCTTGTTCTGATGCCAAATCCTTTAGAGCCTAAAATTCATCACCAATATGAATCAACACAGCTTTAAACATTAGACTAATTGTCATAGTTTTTAAGACCATTGTGATCAATGTTTTGGAATTTTTTTTTTTTTCATCTTTATGTGTTAGTAAAAAGTTGTTCTATTTATCAAATTAATATTTTGAGAGACATGACAACATTTGGAGCCTTTTGTATTTCCTGTGAAGTTGCTTTTCACTTGAAAATGTTCTTGTGGATAAAAATTGAAATGTCAGTTTTGGTAAGTTATTAAAACGATGTGATTCATCTCACTGGGTGAATGGATACTATAAGCAAGTCAGTCAGATTAACCTTTTATGAAGTATTCAAAATGTTTAAAAATGAATCTCAGAATCTAAAACAATCATAGTGATGCCAAAATATTTATATTCTTTAAACAATTACAGCTGAGGGATCTGTGTCTGCTGTCAAAAGCCTCTACGTATTAAAGTGACAACTCTTAAACTGAACTCTTTTTTTTTATTATTTCAGATAAAAGATAGAGAAATGATAACAGAGATCAAAGCTGAGACTCCAGCCAGATCATGCAGTTGCAGAAGTATTGCATCATGCATCACAGCTGGGTACACCCCGACAAAGGATGTTCACTTCTCCACAAGACATCAGTAGAAATAGGTGTTAATGTATGGCTATCATCTGATACCCATGTTGCTGAAGCATGCTAATCAATCCAGTTACAGATTTTTCCAATAAACCCACTCAGGGGAAGAATGTTTGTCTATCTATATAAACTGCAGAGTATCTCTATTCTAACAAACGGATAACTGAAACTACTGAATGAGGATGATTATTCTTATCTATATCCTAACAAAAGGGATCTCAAAACATAATCAAAATGACTCTTAACAAAACTTTAAAACAGGTCAGGGGCAGTTTTCTTCTTTTTTTTTCTCTGCAGGGCACCTGGCCAGTTGGGCAGTATTAGTAAGCATCCGGCACACAAGCAATAGATAAATAAATATATGTTAGTTTCACAAATTTGTGCTGTTTGTTTGTTTTGCATGCAGTCAGTGGGAAGTTGTCATGTACTGTAACTCCATATTGTCACTGCATGTCTGTTACACAGGAAGGCTATTTCAGGTGGTGTGTTTGGGACAACAGTGCAGTTCATACTGGAGGTCTGACTCAAGTCACTGGTCTGATTACTTGAGATCTCAGTTGGGTAAACTAGAAACATTTTGTGGCTTTAGCTCAACTTAATTCCTTACAACTTGTGATTTGACTGACTTGAGCATCTTTTCTTGAAATTTCTTGAGTCTCTCCTTAAAGTAAACAACTACCATGTTAAATAACATTGGAAATTAAATATTGATCCCAATCTTTTTTTTTTCTTATTCTCAGTAAGGTATCAGGGATAACTCATTATGACTTGTTAATGATTGAGACTTTAATAATAATAATATGTTTTATTTGAAAGCGCCTTATCAAAACACCCAAGGACACTGTACAGGCAGATAAAACATTAAAAACAAGAAGCTAAAAAGTACAAGCATAAAGATGCCGCAGAAAACAAAACAGCAGGAAGTAAAATAAAGCCAAAGGAAGAAAAGTAAGTAAACAATATTGGAGTGATGCATATGAACTAGATGGGAAAAGACTGTCTGAACAGGAAAGTTTTGAGTCTGGATTTGAAAAACACTTTAAACCATAGGATTGGGTCTTGTTAATATTGACTTGTGATTAAATTAATAAAGGCTCTAGATTTATTTCAACATGAGATTTATTGTCTTGATCCAACCACCAGCCCCACAATTCAAATTATTTTCTGTATTTACATTAGGTGAGAATGATGCTTTTTTTTTTACAGTATTATTCCACTCTTAAATTTACAAACTTGAATAAATGAATACATAATAAATTTGATTTAAATAATAGATGATAAGAATGAGACTGACCTAAAGAGAAAATGATACATACAGTAGTTTAACATTTCTGTAAAAATAGCATTGGGATTTGTTTCTCCCTTTTGTCAAAACTCAATCAATCTGATCAAATATATGAAATAAAATTAACAATATTGCCTATATTTAGATAGAAGTTATTATGAAGCAGTGCCTGCTTGACAATGACAGCATCATATTTGTTTTTTTATGGTGCTGTGATTGTATAAACACAACTGAGTGTCCATCTGTCCTCAAAATAACTCTGCTTCATCTATATGTAGCCTGAGTTAATCCCTAAGACGTGCACTGCTGATGTCCCTGACCGCTTCAGTAAACGTCCTGCAGAGCAAGAGGAGCCTCTGCAGCCATCAGCATGCCGATTCACAAAAACAACCTTGGGAACAGGACGCCTCCAACTTGTGAGTAAATCTTTTAGCTCCAGTTTCTATTAGTTTTAAGGCTAATATTAAAGAAAATCTGAAAAGTTCATGTGTTTTCCTTCAGTTCATGAAAATAGGAAAACAAAACATGAACTCTCCTTAATGTCCCAGTGTGCTGCATCAGACTACATTTGTAAACATTGTGTATATGTATGGGAGTCTGGTGCTCTGTGTAAATATGACGTTACAAGCCAGTTAAAGCTTCCCACTAAGTGACATAAGAGGCTTTTCAGTTCTTTGTACAGTATATTAGGTAACAGTGAGTCTCGTTCACAGAGAGGGGATTGTGATCTACTGATAGGCTCTGGACACAGGACGGAAATTTCACATTTTCTGTTGAAAATCTGTTCCTTATTATTTTTAGACAAATGTGAAAATCTATCTTTGGTCTTTGTTTTCCCCCCAAAGTACCCAGCTGGTTGAGAATTTAGCTAATAACATGCAGGGGTTCATTTTAACCTGCATAGATAATGGTTTTACTCATTTCACAGTTAATTGTTGTAGCTGCTGTAGTAGTTACAGCATTAAGTTGAATGTTTTCCTCTTAGTGAGCTTGTTGTCAGCAATGCTGTTGTCATAAAAAGCGATAGAATGCTAAAGAGAACCAAATGTTACAGCCGCAGATTGTAAAAGAAAAAGGATTCATAGCAAAGGTTAGATCATGTTGAGTGATTTAGGTGAAGCTCCATCGTGTTTAAAAGGAATATAACAATGTTTTAATTTACTGAGCTCAAATTTAAGATGTGTTAATTTTTTTCTGAGTCGTCTTCTCCCAATATATCCTCTATCACCATGTAATCAACCGTTTGTTGAAAGAAAGAATAAAAATGCAGTTTCTTTATCTTTTATTTTAAGAAACTTATGCTGCATTTAGACAGCACGCGATTGAAGCAGCAAAAAAGCATCTGCCGCTTCATTTTTGATGCTTGTACACATAATGGTTCAACTCAAGAGCATCCTCGATGCTCCTGAAGAGTATCCAGTAAAGTGTGTTCAGATGCATCTGATGCTTCTGCTGCTCTTGTTCATTGGCAGGGAGCGGCTTTGCTATATTTGCTGTTATAAGTGGGAAAAAAGTAGTTTTAATATGTTTTTAAGTAAGAAAGTCAACCTCAAAACATAATCTGTGCAGTCATTTCATCAAGATCATGATCCTGCCTTGAAATATTATTTTGCTGTCAGACCAGCAGAAAACCCCCGTACACCGGCAATGTGCTGTCACTGGAAACAGCTGCCTCTGGCATGGTCAACTCTTGGTGGTTTTCTGCTACTGTTCGTGGCAGCAGAAACGAGATGTTAAGGGTTTTTATGTACGTAATCAAAGCTACAAGCACCAGAATGATAAAAGCAAACAGTTTAGCAGTCTGATGGCAGCAGGAAAAACACTGTTTCAGAACCTGCAGGTCCTGCATTGAATGCTGCATAGCCTCTTCCCAGAGGGCAGCTGGAATGAAATGTGTTTAATGAAGGGAAGAGGAGCCCCAATGATCCTCGCTCAAAGATACAGTCCTCATTCATCCACAGACCCTTGATTCAGAAAAGCAGCAACCAAAATTAAAGTTTTGTTCACATTGACAGGACTTTTTTCCAAAGATTACTCTACTATGGAATTGTCCTTTTGTATGCCGACGATGATGTTAAGTATTGCAGCCTCTTAAGCTTTAGGCTAGAAGTTTAAGGCCTAAAAATGGTACCTAATGCAATCAGACTAGTAGGAAACTAACTGGGCCATCAAGGTTTGGGTTGTAAAGTAATAATTTAGGGACTTTTTGCGTCTTTTCATATGATTTCCATACAACACTTCAGATTTACTTCTTGATGCTTTTCCTCCTCAGGGATGCAGTGATGCCCTGTCTGCCGACCCCACTGAGCCATCTGTGGGACATTAAACTGTGAGGAAACGCAGAACTACAAGGGAAACCATGAGCTCTGACAAACCAGAAATGGACTTAGATCCCCAGGGCGAGCTTGCCGACATGATGGCATCCATAAACGTAGCTCCCAACCGCTTGTCCCCTACTAACGGCTTCAGGCCGACAGCCCACAGGTCAGCCGCAGGCCACAGGGCCCGCCTCGCAGACAGGAAGATGTCTCTGCAGGAGAGGGGGAGCCGCGTGGCCCGACAGCCGACCATTGAGACCAAACGGGTGTCCATCACCGACGCAGATGTGAGTAGACTCATACTGTTTCAGACTTACTGTACCTGGGCATAAAATGAGACTCTGAGATTGAAACTTTCCATTCCACCGGTATAGGACTGTCTCCAGCTAAACCAGTACAAACTGAAGAAAGAGATTGGAAAGGTGACACATCCATTTAAAAACACACAGTTGTCATTGATGATTGTTTAGTTACAAAACTAGTCTTATTGTTTCTTGCAGGGCTCATATGGAGTGGTGAAGCTAGCCTATAATGAGGATTCTGAACAGCACTACGTAGGTTGAGCCTTTAAATGTCCTAAAACTAACTGTGGCTTTATGAAAACATCATTAACTTATTTTTTCTTAATCAGGCGATGAAGGTAGTGTCAAAGAAGAGGCTGATGAAGCTGTGTGGATTTCTGCGTGAGTGAAATAACATTTGTTTCTTGGTGTTGAATTGGTGCTTTTTAACCATACCTCCTGCTGCAACTACTGTATAGTAGTAGCCATTCAAAATGTCCCCACTTTCCTTGATGGGTTCTTGGCTGGTCCCCTTCAATTCCTTTTTAAACATCAATCTTTGTACTAGAATATTCTTTCTGTCATGATTTGTGGACATTAAGATCTAAAGAGTAGCATCATCTCCTGGTTAGACGCTGTAATTCAGTGCAAGGGTTGAGTCAGAGTAAAAAAAAATGTGCACGCCAAGTGGCTGGAAGTTGGAGGGGATTTTGCAGGAAGTGTGCTGCCATTCGGCTGGCATTTGACTGGGAAGGATCATTTTGAATGGCTGCTACTGTATATAGATACATAATCTCCATATTATAATCTAAATATTAGGATGGATACAGACTGCAAACAGTCAGTAGTGCAGAGCTCTCCTTCCTCTATCCAGCACATGTACAGGTATAAGGTTTAAAAAAGGGCCAACTATCGTTTTTTTGTGTTGTCTTCGCTGAAAGGCAAGAAGAAAAAAATCAAACATCAAAGAACTGAGTGGGGGAAAAACTCTTAGTTTAGATTTCTAAGTCTTTTTTTCTACATATCTACAATCAGAAAAAAAATCCTGGATTTAACTTCTTCTTTTTTTTTCTCCACCAACACAATGGGAAAAAAAAGAAAATAAAACTTGGTTAGATTTCTGTCTTTTTTTCTCCAACACAAGGCCAGAAAAAAAAAAATCCCGGTTTAAATTTTTAAAATCTTTTTTTTTTTTCCTCAAGTCTTGCAAGAGAGGATTTTTTTTATTTCCTCACCAACTCATTTTACTGTTTGTTTCTTGTAATACCTATTATGTCCATCATATGGGTGGTGCTTCCAGCTACATTGTAGGTGAGTGCAGGAAGTTATATTTTGATTTAAAAACATCTGTTTGACCCTAAAAAACATTTGGAGTTATATAAGTCAAGACTTTTGACTTAAAAATACTAAATTTGGAGACGTTAAAAATAGCAAAAAACAAGGCTTCTGTTCAATTCACAGTGGTGGTTTTAAAGAAGCAGAGGCTCGCATCAGATGCAGGTCAGAGTTAGAGCTCTCTGTATACCGGCTGATATGGAGGTTTGATGTTTATAGTTGGATCTTAGATATAATCTTTTGTGATGAGATAGTAAAAGAAAAAAAAAATTTTCTCTCTTGCAGCGCCTGAAGACTTAGAAGTTTAAACTAAAACTTTGTTTTTTTCCTGCGTTGTTTTTGTGGAGAAAACAGAAAAACCTAGAAATCTAACAAGGTTTTTTAAATAAAACGAGCGGGAAAAAAAATCTAACTTTTCATTTCCAGATTTTTTCTCTCTCTTTCCTTTCACTGCTTCTGTACAAATGGCTGCTGGAAAAAAAGATTTATGTTTAAGGGATAAACATTTAAAGATTTGGCCATAATGAAATAATGTATTCTGAAGTAGATTGTGTAATTGTTCTTAACTGAGCCAATTGTCTAGCGTGGTGTTCAGCTTTTTTATGTGGACTCATTTCTGCCACTGTTGCTGATACATTTCACTATGTGAAAAAGAAAAAAAAAGTATGAAATACTCCTTTAATTACCTCAATTCAACAATAATACAGTTTATATGTGTTCTAAATGGTAGTGATGCCTAAACACTTCCTGTTTTACCCAGTGATCATTAACAAAAGTCCATTGGCAATGGCAACAGGACCATTTGGATTAGCCTGACTTGTTAGTTGTGGAGAAATCCCTCATGCCAAGCAGGGATGTAGCAGATAGCTCATTAAAAGCCCAAGGTCAAAATGACTTTCTTTCAGACTGGGGTTGTTTGTGTGGACTTGTACTTCCAGGTCGTCTTCCTCCTCAGGGATCAAACTGTCAGCAAATCCCCAAATTCATGCAGCCGCTGGAGAGAGTGTACAGAGAGATCGCCATCCTTAAGAAGCTGGACCATCCAAACGTAGTTAAACTGGTAGAGGTGAGTGAGACAGTGACAAGTTAAAAAATATGACCAGAAAAATCAGACCACAGAACAAAGTGCATAAATTTTTTTTTTAAGCAAAACTCAATGGACACGTTTTGTCAAATAGAAACAAATGTAATTCCTCATAAGTGCTATTTCTGTTTTTATAGAGTACCAAAAAAATGATTAACTAACATATAGTGTTTATATATCTTGCAGGTGCTGGATGATCCTGAGGAAGATGGACTTCACATGGGTAGGGAAGCATTTACTTTGTCTACTGTGGCAAAATAATTCAGGATAATCATTAAATTCAGATTGTACTGTTCTTAAGCCTTCGAACTGATGAAAGAGGGGTATGTTTTGTTTATTATTCAATTAGTTTGAAGTGTTAGAAGTCAGAGGAGGCAACCATACGATGCAATAAGATTCATTTTTGGTTTTTACTTCTCGTCACTTCAGTCCGGTCTTGGAGGTGCCCACAGACAACCCTTTAACTGAGGAGCAGGCGCGCTTTTACTTCAGAGATGTCGTCCTGGGAATAGAGTACTGTGAGTAAAAAAAGGACTCGGCAGGATTTCTTTAAGAGCTTTTGGGTCAGATTAACTCTTGTTTCAGTCATGGGTCGACACATACATTAATTAATGTTGTATTTAGCGAGGGGATATTATTTTTGTAGTGAACTACAGTTTCTTTAAATAATAGAAGTACCTCGTTTATACTATTAACGGATCAAAATAAGTAAAAACCTTTATACATTTCTGTATTTAAGAAGGTAAAAAACATGATGTGCCAACAGAAGGCGTGTTTTTGCTCTTTAGATAAGCTAATAAGATGCCATGCATTTAAAATAAGGTAATCTGGTTCATTTTTTATTTTAAGCATAAATCTCTTATTTTATTGGAAAATTGTTGTCCTTACCTGCTCAAATCAAGGAAAAATACACTTATTTCAAGAAAAGTTGACTTACTTGAACATTAAGTTTTCCAGTGATAAGAGTTGTCACACATAAATTTATAATGTGGGGAGTGTTGGCCTAGTGGGTTAGCCCACTGAGCGGAGAACAAATTTCCCCATTATCGGACAATAAAGGGATTTACATTACATAAATACCTGATAAAAATTCATCAGAACTAGACAAGACAAGAAAACTGATTGAAATATTTCAATGTCTTAGTTATTTAAAAATTATATGAAATGCAATGAAAATATTCATTGTCATCTCAAGCTACTTTACAGAGATAATTCAACCAGGTAAATCATGAAAATTTAGAAAAGTTTCCATGGTTTTAAACAACTCAGCTATGTATTAATTCATCGGTAAATAATTGTTTAGATCCGTTTCAACTTGATTATTGCCTTTGCCAAGAAGGTTTTGTTTTTAGGCGATTTGGTGTGTTTTTCCGTCTGTGTACAGGATAACTTAAAAAGTTATGAACAGATTTTTTATCAGAGGTGCACCTCTGTCTAAGGAAGAGTCCATTAAATTTTGGTGAAGACTTACATCATAATCCAGATGCAGGATTTTTAAGTTGACTATTGACAGCTTTAGCATCAGTCTCAAACAAGTCCAGAAGTATTAAACTGAAGATAAAAACACAGTAAAGTTGAGCCATGCCACACTTGGAGTCTCGATCTGCTGAACAAACAAGAAAGAAAGAAAGCAGAGTGAATGATGGAGAAAGCAGAACAGACACCAGAGGCTGCAGACACACACTGTGCCTTATTTATAAACTTAGGAAAGGATTTTAGGGATATTGATACCACAGGTGTGCCTCATGCCAAGGAATAATTCATTAAAATTTGGTAATGATCCACATCATGTGTGAGTTTTAGGTGTAGGTCACAAATCGGGGCAAAAGTTGCTGCTTGGCGGACATCTGTCCTCTGAGTTATTTTCTAGTTTTTTTAATGCTAAAGTTTGCTTTGTTTGATTTTTTTCTTCTGTTGTTTCATTAACAAATATGTTCTTATTCCTTTTCTCATCTAAAATTTTATAATATGTCTATTTTATGGAAATTTTGAATTCTCATTTTTGTGGATGCATTTAAGATTTTTTTTTAAATTTTTTTTTTCACCATATGATCCACAACAACTCTCTTCTGTGTGTATGGGTGTGCTTTTGTGTTTGCTTTTGTGTGTGTGTTTGTGTGTAGTGCACTACCATAAGATCATCCACCGAGACATCAAACCCTCCAACCTGCTGCTCGGGGATGATGGTCATGTTAAGATCGCAGACTTCGGTATCAGCAACGAGTTCGAGGGGCCGGACGCCCTCCTGTCAGGCACGGCGGGGACGCCAGCCTTTATGGCCCCTGAGATGATAAAAGGGCAAGAGCAGAGCTTCAATGGAAAGGTGAATTGTCAATCAGTGGACACTGTTTATTTACTGACAGACTGTAAACATGAAGCTTATCAGTCGGTGTGCTTGTTCCACAGGCGTTAGATGTGTGGGCGATGGGGATCACACTGTACAGCTTTGTCTTTGGGGAGGTAATGTTACCTGCAGGATGCTTGTATGAGAAATCTAATATTTATTTCTATTTTGTCTATCATTTGTAACCTACTTGTCTTCTTCCAGTGCCCATTTTATGATGATTACGTTATTTCTCTGCACAATAAGATCAAGAACGAGGCTGTGGATTTTCCAGAAAAGTAAGCAAATAAAACTAAATCTTGACTAAAAGCTTTCAAAGATTATCATAAACTATAGAAGCTCTGAAACAAGAAGCCATGCTGCTTACCTGACCTTTTACTTTGTTTTTGTTAAAATTATCAGTGATTTTGAAATTTACCCTTTATCCCTGTTGCCATGGTAACATGCTCTCATCTTCTATGATGCTGTTTATGGTGCTGTATAACTGATCTCTTACACTGACACTGAAAAACAGATTTGGTACAGTAGAATCAAACATTGTGACTGAAACTTTTCATAATAAAAGTAAACAGCAATACTGATGATTATATGATTATTCTCTCTTTTTAAGCTGCACCTTTTTTCAGTAAGAGAGAGATGTCAGTCCTCAGCTATAGAAAAGATTCTTTAATCTATTACTATTTTCATTATTAGCTATGTAATTGGTCCATAATTTTATGAACAATAGTTCATTTGAACCTAGTGCTAACTTCACTCACATGAATATTAAGTGGATTGATCAGGTGCTGCAGCAATAACAGACAGCCATGGCTGACATCAGTGCCCCTGTTTTTGGAGAGTCTAAAAGTTTTCTGTTAAATAATATATCTTTTTTAATCTGTAGTTAATTATATAGATATTTACTACTGAAAGACCCTGGCTGCCATATGCTCCTATCTTTCTAAGAGTTTAAAGCAAGGGTCCTTCTGAATATCTCAGTTTGTAGCTCCTACCTCCTGTTCCTACCTCCTATCCTTTCATCTTTTGCCGGATCAACCTTAAGAACAGTATTCAGTAAAGGAACTCCAGACTGCTGTGCTAAATCCAGATAGCCTTTGGCCTTATGGAGATCATTACATGAAATACCCATACAGAGATAATGCTGGTCAAATTGGGACTACAGTCTTCCAAAAGAGAACTGCAAAAAGCAAAAATTACACAAATGTAGCGAACGGCTGAAGCACTAGAGTAAAAACACATAAAACATATAAAGACGCTTTTGTCGCACAGAGTACATGTGAAGAAATTATGTATTTTTGTTGTTTGCTCTGTCCTTACTACCAGCACTATTTTGACAGTACTTATCTTATGTTATGGTTTAAGTTCTCTTGATTTGCACTATTTCAAAGGAGCACAAGCGCAGTGACGCTAAAAACATTTCTCATTGAAAAACAGAGTAGCAGTGTAGAAACATTATGACATTATTAGTGTCAACGTTTCTTTTTATAGTCACGTATTTTAATGGCAATATTTGTTTCAGAATGTTTCATTTTACTATGTCTGATTTTACAGTGTTTGATTTTACAGTATTTGATTTTACAGTATTTAATTTTACAATACCAAATCTCTGTAATTATATTCCCTGTATTATCAATACAGGCAGCCACTGATTTAGGTCCATATCAGAATCAGAATCAGAATCAGAAATACTTTAATAATCCCAGAGGCAAATTACTTTTGTTACACGCTCCAGTTACAGTTTTATATATATAGACACACATCCAACAGATAGATAATAAAGATAAAAATAAAAGAGATAAAATATATGCACATATAACTCTTCTGTATATATATATATATATATATATATATATATATATATATATATATATATATATATATATATATATATATATATATATTATATATATATGCATATGTAAAAACTAGATGATCTAAAAAATAGATGTTAAGTTTGCTGTTTGATTCTGTCATTTCAGTGCATTTTCTTTGTATTTCAGGTAGTTCTGTTTTGTTTGTAAAGCCAAATAATTGCCTTTTTTGTTTTACTCCATTTTCTTAGTTGAACTTTGTGATTTGTCCTTAGTTGTAAACAGGATGCACACTAAAAGGAATAATATTACATCTAATAATGTTAAACATTAAAAGCAATCTTTGTTTTTCAATCCTCCTGCTCAAAACTCCTCTACTTTTCATTAACTATAAATGTATCAGCTTATATTTTATTTTCTAATTTGATTTATTTTATTTAACATTTCCTTAACCAGTTAAAGAACCCTGCAGATTGAGTCCTCTTTTATAAGGGTGGCCTTTGCTTTCTTTGCTTTGCATCATCAGAGATGGAGGTCAAGAATAACCTTTTGTAAAAGCAATAATTTATGGTTTCTTATGTTAGATATCCAGTTGTTGACAGGGCATTTTACAACTCCCGAACAACAACTAGTCCTTTAGTATTGGTCAAATTAAAATTAAAACAACCATTTAAAAAATGCCAATATTTGCATGTGCAAAAATTAAACATGCATTTCTTTTAAAAAGCAGCTTTTATTTTTAAAGGGACTTCTTCCATTGCATTTACTTCTGCACTCGTTGCTTCATAAATGAAAAAAATAAAAAGAATGAAACACACTTTTCAACACTGCATAGATTTGGGAGCTGCCCAACAAATTATCGTCACAAAGGTAATTTTGATATGGATAATATTGCAAACACTATATATTGCACAGCATTTTTCCGTTTACTTCCAGTTAAATCACGCTTACTTAAGCATATCAACGAGGTATGCAGGCTAGTGGATGGAGTCTCCCTCCAGTCTTAGCATCAGAAGCAATACAATTACAATTTTCTGTTTGTGTTAAACATCAAATACCAGATTAGGAAGAGGAAAGGTCATATCCCTAAAATTGGTACAGGTTTTAACTCCATAGATAGCTGCTATTGTAATTCATGTGGGATTGCATTTAAGTTATAATAGAGCGCTCAAATCAGACAGATTAACAGATTCTATGACAAATGCTTTTTGTTGCTCCTTTATTAACAGCCCTTCAATAAGCAATGATTTGAGAGATCTCATTGAAAGAATGCTGGATAAAAACCCTGAAACAAGAATCACCATACCTGAAATAAAGGTGAGCCTGGGAACTCTACACATTGCTTTACTGCAGTGTAAGCTTGTTTACCATAGTGTGTGTGTGTGTTGCAGCTCCATCCTTGGGTAACAGAAAATGGCTCGAATCCTCTCCCTCTGGAGGAGGAGCACTGTGCAGCGGTGGAGGTCACTGACGAGGAGGTGCAGAACAGTGTGAAACTCATCCCCAGCCTGTCTGCCGTGGTGAGCTACACACCGTCCACCACCTACCCACTGGGAGAAGTATTCCTTGCTCAGAAATGCCATCTTTAATTTTCCTTGTGCTGTAGTGTGTATGGTAGCCAGCAATGCTGTGCAACACTAGAAATGTGTTTTGCATGGAACTTCTAACAAGGTTAACAAATATCTTTTAACCTTGCAAATATCTTTAAACCTCCTGAAGCCTTTTATCCAACAACCACAAGCTTCTTTTGTGTTTTGGGGATTTTGATAACTCCGGAGGAGCTGCAGAGATTCACACATCAGATAGAAAAAAAACCTCAACAGGACCTCTAGAATTTCCTAACTCCCTTCATGGAGGAACAAAAGAAAGCCATAAATGAATGAAAGATATCAGAAAAGCTGTTTATAATTTACCACAAACCACATAGGGGCATTTACGCTGCAGATGATCTTGGATCAGAGACAATATAAACTATACATCATCATGGAAACACAACCACTGAAACGTGATGGAGGCATCATACTGTATGATTGTATTTTATTTTTTCCTTTATAAGGGATGTGGAAGATGGTAATAGCTAATAGGAAAATGAATAGCTCCAAATACAGAGTACTACTAAAAGAAAAGCTGTTAAAGGCTGTGAAAAACTACAGTCAGGCAGAGGTCTGACTTCCAATTGGAAAAAACCCAAAACATACAGTGAGAGCGATAAGATAAAAGGTCTTTTGTGTGAATGGCCTATTCAAAGTTTTGAACTAAATCAAATTATAAATCTATAAGAAACAAAAGAAATTGTGTTTGTAAATGTTCCTTATCCGGTATCTGACTGGGATCATGGATGGTTATACATTTCATCCTTTCTTCATATTTACGACGCTGATGGTCTTAATCATAAAACCTCAATAACATGCACTAAATTTAATGTTTATGAAGCGAAAATGTGCAACAAAGTTTGAGGGGATTTTTAAATATATATATTTGCCAATCAGAGCAAACTGCCAGGATAAAAAAAAGGAGATATTGTTTATTATTGTGAGGGAAATGACAGATTTGATCCCTTTTTTGGAAAAGTGTTGTCTCACTAGCCTCTGATAAAGAAATGTTACATGTCCATTGAGACTCCTAATGTCCACTGCAGATTCTTGTGAAGGCCATGCTGAGGAAACGTTCTTTCAGTAATCCTTTCGAGTGTCAGGGCCGGCGGGCAGAGAGGTCCATGTCTGCCCCTGGAGGTCTTCTTACGTAAGTAGCCTACTCTGTAAATCCTGTCTGCTCCTATCTGCCAGCTCTGCGATTAGGCCTCTAACAGAACAAAGCAGCGAGCAGATGCTTGGATTAAAAATAGATCAGTTCCATTCTTTACATGTAGTGTTTCGCTCACATATAGCCTGCATGCCAACACTGATTCTGAAGAGCTTCATACTGTCTGTCATGTACTTGTGAAACGCATTGATTCTGTGTTGAGAAACTAGATAAAAAAGAAGTTCTCAAATAGAAATACAAGTCAAATGCGGAAGTCCAACAACCCAGCCTGGACACTTCAAACCTTCATTAAGATTTATTGCCATAATAACATATTGTTAGAATAATTTCCCTTCCTGAAAATTATTTATCTGGATGTTTGACAAAAATTTATTCCATGCTGATACTCCAGTTGCGTCCCTGTTTTTTTTTAACCTGTTTAGCATGCACTCATATGAAGCTGTTTCCATCACTTATTGGCCCGTTCTTGTATATTTGGGATTGTTTGGGTTTTCCAAGGAGTTAAAATAACTCTGGCAGCCACTGACATCCCCACCATGATTATCCCCCATGATATGTTAGCTCTCTGTGCTCTCTCTCGCTCAGTAAACAGAATCTAGGACAAAGAGATAAAGTTCTTCCTAACCAATCACTTATACTACTAGTAGCCAGAAAGGTTTAATGACTGGACATTCTCACAGACTATGTACGGTATAAGAGATCTGGCGTCTTCCCAACACTTCTATAAAATAATGATTTACTCATCAGACCCAGTCTAAAATGTTTTGCTGAAGCCCAGTAGTATCTTTGTAGTATCTTATACTTTGTAAATATACAGTCCCTCTATATTGTCCAATACATTTTCCATCTTTTAAACTATTCTTCATCCGTTAATACAGCTTCGATGTCCATTTCCCATAAAATGTTTGAAGTTGTACTGTTAAAACTGAGTGCAGAGTTCATTCTCCTGTAAAACGTTGAAGCTCGACGATGATGGTAGATTCAAACAGTTCAGGATAGGATTGCTCCCAAAGGGTTGCAGTAATGATTTCAAACTGTTCCTTATCTGAAGACATGTTTTTGTGACATCTTATGATATGACATAAATACTCCAGTAGATGGAGGCCTTTCCAATACAAATGCAGAATGAAGAAGTGAAGTGCAACACAGCTTATGTGCTTTCATTCAAATTTCATTTGAATGTAACATTCACCTGAAAACTAAGAGAGGCATTCTACAGGGGTAAATATTTCGCAATGACCTAATTATTTCAATAAATCAAAGGATTTATAATTTAATTATTTGCTATGAAATCTTTTTAATGCTAGTCAACAAATAAATGACCAAATACATTTTTTTTCTACTTTACGTAGTTATTATTTTTGTCATTTTAACTTAATCATTTTAAGTCATTTCATTTTAAAAGATAAATAGTGGTACTCTGTTTTAAGTTTTTTCTGATTAAACCTTTTTATGATAAAAGGTTGAAGCAAGTGTTTTATAGAACAGCCTTATGTTGGAGCTTTATGAAAGCTGAAATATAATAGCATTGCCAACTCAAAACATAAATGCTTTTGTTCGGGGCGTCTTCCGGTGGCCGGTCGGACCCTGCTTCATTGTATGGATGTGACAACATGTCAGAAACAAACCTCAGATCTGACTCCAAGTTGACACAACAACAGCAGATTTTTCAGCTGTCCATCTCTCATTCCCCACATCCCAAAGATGCTCTATTTTTATTAAGAACTAGGAAACATGGAGAAAAATCCAGTAATTTAAATCTTTGTCATGCTGCTATTTTTAGATGAAATTGATTTCCTCTGCTGCTGTAGTCCATCTGCTGAAAGCTTTCTTGAGATGATATTTCATATATGTTGGTCATTTGAGCTACCATTGCATATCTACTTCTCAGCATAGATCAGCCTATTGTCCTTTGACCCCTGACATAAAAAAAACCTTTTTGTTTTTATAACTGCAGCTTACTCTTCAGACCATTCTCTATATAACCAAGACATCATTGCACGCAAATAACGAAGTGGTTCAGCAAGTTTCTAAAAGCTGATGCTATGATTGATCTCTGGCATTTTGGCAGCGCTACATCTGGATGCTTAAATGTTTAAAAGTTATGTGATGTATTTGGCTGATTATGTTGACAAACAAATCCATGGTTGCATCTTGTCAAATCGTTCATCACAAGAAAAGGCCAAATATTGACACTAACAATTTATGTGCTATAAAGATTTGCTAGTCTGACTTTACTTAAGTGGAAACAATCTTTGGGTTTTGATATTGGTAGATTTGTTTGCCCAGAGATCTCATCGCAATCTAAAATGTACTCTGAGCGTTACATCCTTCTGTATTAATTTATCTGTTAAGGCACAGACATTTGCAATTGAAAATAAAGGTACTTTCTACTATTCCTATCCTTTATTCTAACCCTAAACTACAATCTGTTTACACGTAAAAAACTGTTAACTTCCTGCCTTCCTTACACTTCCCACCTTATTCTCTCAATAAATGCCTCATGGATCTGGATGTCACCTTTAAACTGCTGCAGCAATGCTTTAATAAAATGTATCTACAGTATAATAAAGTTTTTTGGGGTATAAACTCTTCCCTTTATATCCCACCCCCTTCTTGCAGAGGATCTTGGGGCTTACTGGGGTCTTCGCCTCTGCCTCATCCATCCTTAAGGTAAACTGCTTTTTGGAAGCATCTTAGGCTGAGCTTCGTACATGGCGCTTTATCTGTAGTTCAGCTCATCGTGTTTTTGTTTAGTCTTCTTCCTTTCCCCCATTTATGCTCCTTAACTGTATTTTTACCTAATATGTTCAACAGATAAAAAAAAACATTTGTCTCCCACAGGAAAATCAGCAGAGAAGGGAGCAGAGAAGGAGAGTTGGAGGATTTGTATGAGGACGAATCATTCACAGAAAATGGAGATTAAAGTAACAGGATTTGGATTAAAGCTGCAGGATGGCAACATAAAAGCTAGTTTTTGTACATTTATTTGGTCCTTTTTATTTCTCTCATTAATTTTTTGCCTGCTCAATATGGTAACATACAGTCAGTCATGTTCCAACTCTGTGCAGAAGATCTTGAGGTTAAAATAGTTTTTAGAATAACACACTAGCTGTGCTTAAGGGTTTAATAGTAGGAATAGATATAGTTTTGTCCATTTTGTGTTTATTAGTTTTTCTCATTAAGCTTAGGTTACAACTGGCCTGAATGTCTTTGAATCTCAAATGAATGTATAGACTAAGAATGTAAATATTATCCAAAAGAAAAGTATTTTTATGTTTTCCTACAGCACTGAAATAAATAAATAAGTCATTCAAACTGGGGTTTTAATATTTTATGTTATGTGTGATGCAACATCCAAGGTATAATGTTAATCATCAAACACAAAATGACCACATGTAGTTACTTGTGATATTAAAAACAAAAAAGCCTTTATTCATAATAGTGTGTTAGAAGTTTAAAATATTCACATTTACCCAGAAAATCAAATTATAAATTTATTTTTATTTTTTTTAATCGGAATTGACAAGGTCCAAGGTCTGAGTGTTTTATGCACTTCTGATTAAAGACCAGAAGAGGGCAGCATTGCCTTAACAGCAAAGATCCTATTGAACTAACAAATAGATACAGTAAAGTGCTGCAATAATTTCTGTTGAGTGCTGTTCTGTTTCCTAAAGTGTATACTTCTGGATAAATTTGTATGTTTATAAGCCTGAAGCTTTTCTTTCAAGAAAAAAAAAACTCTGACTCAAACATCCACAAACACTGAAACTCAGAAACATAACACTGTGCATCACTAACAGGAACAGAGACCACCATGAAACATGAACTCTTTTAAGTCTTTCCAAAACCCATCCAGGTTAGTGTTGCCAGTTGCTTTCAGGGACAGTGAGCCTGGAAGGTGCAGGTCTAGCACCCCTAGTAGCTGCACTGTGTTGCTCTAAAAGCTTTCAAATGAATACATTTGAAATATTTGGAGTGAGTTGTGACATTAATCTCACTCTGGGCATGCACCTCCTCCTCACCCACAAAACTAAACACCAGAACTTAGAGCAGCTAATCTGATTTTTGTTTCATCTGGTTTTGTTGTGCCCCCTGTCTCCCTTCCACTCTAGGAAACCGTCCATATCATGCAAAAAATTAGACTTTTTAACAGAATGGGCACACTTTAGGAGGTATTGTATCATAAAGCAAATGAGAATACAGACTCATTTGTAAGATTCATTATTTATTGCTAGAAATAGAATTGAAAATATCAAAGTCAAAATGAAGTTTACTGGCCAAGTTTGTGAGTAAAGAAGGTGTTTGACATCATATCAGCGCATATAAGCATCAATTTGTAAAAACTAAGAAGAAATAAAATGATGTAAAGATGCAGTTGTGTGCGCACAGTCTCCAATTCATTATTTTTATAATTTTTTCTATATGAAGAAAAACCCATGTTGTGAAAGTGCAGTACGCTTATTGGTTTCCAAGCAGAGTAGCTGACTATCCAGACTGTGAGATGTTTGCTGTGTTCATTGGAGAGACAGCCCAGGGAAATAAGCTGTTTTTATAGAGGCTCGTTTATTTTTTGCAAACAGCGCTCTGTAGCACAAGCCTAAAGATAAGAGTCTAAACTGTGACTTGAACGTTTGTGGACGGCAGAGGTGTTTGCTGCACATTTCCATAGAATATTTGATGTTTTTAACTTCAAAGATAATAAAATGTATATCTTTGATTTCTGTCAACATAAATGTTGGTTTTGTTGTTATTAGTACAGTTTTTTTAGCATTATTTTATGAGGATTAAAACACAAGATAGACAAAATAAAACATTTCCTGAGAGAAAGAACAACTTATTTGGGATTCTGCTTCATAGAATACATTTATAGAGTTGATTTAATTCCCACCATCGATAGGTTTTTCTCCAGCGTTATCATTTATCTAAAGCACTTATTCCTACTCAGTTGATTATGCTGCAAAAAAGATGCCTTGGCTTTGAGGGTAAAGAAGAAACATGATACAGCCCTATGGAAGCTCCTTAAGCATAGAAATGGAAGTATTATTCCAGCCATAGTTTTGCCGGTCAAGAAAAGTTTTTTTTCCGATGACCAAAAAATAATTTTTCTGATGAGTGAAAAATTCTGATTCAGCATTATTATGAACAAAAGACTAACTAAAGACATTTTTCAGACTACAGAAAAACCCTTTTCTGGTGAGGAATACATGAAAATGCACCCACATTAATCCCAGTCAAATAGCTAAAATTACACACAGATATATCACATGAAAAGCACATGATTAGATCTAAAGAGATATCATACTTTTCGGAAGAATATTCATGAGTCTTGTTTGGGTTTTAAGGAGAGAAAAAAATCTACATTTCACCTGTTAACAGTCCACAGGTACGGGACCCTCCAAGCAGGTTCTCACTGAAAGTCCTCAAAACATCCTAACCCTAATGTTATCACTTGTCCTAATGCAGGCTGTAACTGCTGCCGATTAAAAATAAATTTTTGTAGATTCAAAAAAGATGAAAAAAACAAACCAACTTTTAGTTAAGTTCTGCAAAAACAAAAAGCTTTGGGCCCCGAGAAAATAAAAGGCCAGTAAGACAAAACTATGGTTTACAAGATAGTTGTTGAATATTCTGTATGTACGAACAGTCTTGCTGACTATTATTGGCACCCCTTCATGTTTTGCATAGCTGAGTGAATATCTTCAGAAATAAATGGAAATGTTGAAAAGTTATATCAGCAAGAGCTTTCAATTTAAGGTCCAAAATAATTTAACAAAGACGGTTACCATTGCAACACAAATACTTTAATTCCAAAGGACAAAACAGAAAACCAGCATGTGTACTAATATTGACACCCCTCCCTAATATTTGGTTGCACAGCCTTTGGCAGCAATGACAGCCTCCAAACATTTCTTATATTCATCTATAAGCTTCTTGCACTTCTCAGGTTGCATTTTCTCCCACTCTTTTTTTGCAACCTGCTCAAGCTCTTGTACATTTGGCCATTTTAAAACAGTACATTTTTTCCCTTTCAACCATTCCTTCGTGCTTTTGGAGGTGTACTTTGTGTCATTATCTTGCTGGAAGACCCAGGATCTTCGCCTAAAACCAAGTGGGAAAGACATTTCAATCTAGAATTTTTTGATAATCTTTTGATTTCATGATGCCTGTGATACGGTCTAGGCCTCCAGTACCAGATGCCGCAGAGCAGCCCCACAGCATTATGGATCCTCCACCATGCTTGATTATTGGTATGGTGTTATTTTCTTTAAAGGGGAACGCCGTTTTTTTTTTTTACATTGGGCCCTTGATTTTACGTTATTGCATCATTTTCTACTCACCCATATGAGTTTTATGCCATGATGTAATAACGTAAAATCAAGGGCCCAATGTAAAAAAAAAAAAACAGCGTTCCCCTTTAAAGGCTTCATTGCATAGAATGGTACCAGAGGCTGAAAACAGCCCCACATTTAACTCATCCCCTAGGGAGCAGTGCCCTGTCCCACTGATTGCACTCATAGATCAAGGGTTTCTTACAGTGTAAATATCTAAACTAAAGGTAGTATGATTATCTAGCCTGTCTAAACTTTTCCTTGGTAAAAAAAAAAAAACAGGTTTCTTTTATGCCTGAAACAAACCTGATTGCTGTGTTGCTGCAGCCAGGTTATTTTAAATTAGAAAAGACAATCACACTCATTTTCCTCATTTTGAATGTCTTAACTTTAGATATCCTAATTTTTTTTCCCATTCTATTTAGAATGAGCTCATCTGATTTAGTCTTTTTTTTTTTTTTTTTATAGTCCACATGTCAGTCCATCATCTCTTTAAGCCAAACTGGACTAAAGACGAATTACAGTTTCAGGATCAGAACTTGTTTTGTCAAGATTATGGATGAATTTCAGCAACAGCCTCTATTTTCTCCAGTCGGTATTTTAGTGCGTCCTGATGTGGCTGATGCAATACAGTTAAAAACTAGAAATGCAAAGGTTGATGCTGCAAAATGTGATAACCACATGTGTCATTTTCAACCGTTAGCTTTCGTGGTAAATGTCTTCAGAGCTGAATTTAAATAACGGCTCAGCTGTTACAGGCTAAAATGGTTGATTTGTATTCCTGCTGGCTGCCCTTTTTTTCCCCCTGCTCGCTGCAGTTATGTGATGACCAAAGAGGAGTGTTTCTGAGCAAAGATTTCTGTGGAAACAGTTGCCATGCAACAGCACAATACAGCATTTGTGCAGAGTGCTAACTTCACTGTAGACTGCTGGCTTTCTTTACCTCATGCAGCCATGCAACGTCCCGGTTGCTTCTCTTCTGTTCTTTCTACTGTTTGCTCAAATGTAAAATAGAGTCTTTGTATGGGGAGGCTGTTGGTAACTGTGGTCTCCGTGTTTCATCGGTGGTCAGGGGAAACTTTCTTTCAGCGTCTGCTCCCACACCCAGACTTGCTTTTAGTTTCCACAAACAAAGCCAGCTAGTTCAACCTCAGCAAAGCACTAATCCTTGGCTCTCACTGTTAACGCTCCACCCCAGTCACTATGCTGCATTTCACCTCTTCACTTTCAGCTTTTGACCTTTCAATGTGTATTATTCATCACATCCTTACAAAACAGTTTGCTATCACTGTACATCCCTTTATTTAATCGGGGAGAAGTGAAGGAAGTAGTCTTTTAATGCTTACTCCCTGCACCATGGGAATCCCCTGTGCCCACATCCATAATGAGTCACCATCTTTGATAACAGACAGCAGACCCACAAACAGGGGGATGTAAAATATATCAACCAGCTTGCACCTCAGGAGCTGATTGTAAAACGCTGCAGGACAGGCTAGACATTGTTAAGGTAAAATCATGTACAGCGTATTTAAACTTTTTAAAATTTTGTCAAGTTACGACAAAAAACTTTGCAGCACTTTGTTAGGATTTTATGTCATTAAACAAGGTAGTGCAAAATTGTAAAGAGCAGAGAAAAAAAAATGTCTTCACAGATGACTATAAATACAATCCCCACGGTAGTGGCAGCATCATACTTTGGGGATGCTTTCTTAATACAGAAAATAAGGCCTTTCAGAGCTGACAGGCAGCTGAATACAATCCTGAAATATGCATTGGAATGAGAATATCAACGTAGGGTGGAGGTGGGTTGAGGACCCAAATGCAGAGATTAGGTTTTGCTGATTTAATAGCAAACAAAAACAAAACCTAAGAACAAAATGCAGAAAAACAAAAAAACTGGAGATGTCAGGGGAAACACATGAGGAGTCAAGTAACAATGAGAAACCAGCTATGAGGAACTGCAGATGAGGTGTATATATGGGGGACCAAACAAAGAATGGGCTAATATGGAGCAGGTGTGGATAGAGGTAATTAGAAGGGAGCTATGGGAAATGAGACTGGCACAAGGGGGCAACAGAGAGTAACTCCAAAAAATGCA